AATATTATCGTATTCTATAGAACATACGGCCGTATTACTGCCCCTGCTATACGGGGAAAATACGGCACGTAAAACGGGCCGTATTTGTATCGTATACGACCGTTTACTGATCGTTTTCTTTGACCGTGGTTTGATCTGCAGCAGTATCGTAATTTCACACTTGGAAAATCTACTCCTCTGCCAGTTGCACGACCTGTAAATCGATCGATGTCAGTACTTTTTCTGAAACAATATTTATCTATTAAAACAAAATTAAAAGAACTTACTATAACCTTCTTCAGCATTGGTCAAGTTTCTTGTAACTGGTTTGAGAACTATAACTTGATTAACAAGTTGTTTATATAAAAACAAAGCGTCCTTATGTTTCGATAATGCTCTAATAGTTTCCTGTTTATTTTCATTAATTAATGCAATAGCAGAATCGATAACATGTGCTTCATTTATGTCACCAGCACCAACGAGTAACTGAAAATCACCTAAACCAAATCGATCAGGTGCAAGTGAAAAAATACCCAGAACAGTTTTTAATTTTTGGGATATTTTGTTTAAAAGAAATATGAGCGTTCTTTGAGTTGACCACATTGATTCATCTTTTGATAAAAAAGAATAGTGTTCCAAATAACATAAAGGCTGTGTTTGCCTTGTATTGTGCAATAGAAAAAAACATGCACGGACCTAACCCCTCGGTAAAAATAATGCCACTGCTGATGCCACTATCATTCATGCCGACTTGCAGATTATCACTAATATATTCATTGTTTGCCATGATGCCTGTAACCTTTAAACAAACAAACATCTCGTTTCAAATAAATGAAGACGTGAAAATTAACACTCGCCGATCTTGGCAAAATACCTTATAAATAAATAAAGACAAGTTGAAAAAAATTCAATCTGGAAATGAAGACTTTGTAGACCTAAGACAACGTCTAAATAAAGAAATTAAAACAACCTGATGTAAAGAAATGATGTGCACGAGAAAAGAAGTAAGTCAAGGTGTTAAAAGTTATCTAAAGGAGAACAATTGATGGGATATTTAGTTACTGAATCAATTTCTGTGTCTTTCGCATCTGTTGCCGAGGAAAGAATGAATTATGTAAAACTGCATAGATATTTTATTTTATTTCTTCCCTTAATACAGAATATATGTGTGTTTTTGATTTGTTAAAATAAAGAAGTCTTAATTCTCGAATAATATCACACAGGAAAGAAATAAAATTGACCAGCTGCGTCGCTTGAAATTGATTCTTTCGAACTATGGTCAATAGAAGCGGTGGCTATCAGAAAATGTAATTTGTCGAGAAAAAGGTTTTAAATTAAAGAGAAAATTGTGCTTAGTCCCTTAACAGATCTGGATTTTTTATTTTTGACCTAGTTGTTGAGAAAAATAGATCTTTTTTTCATAAGAGTACCCCTATTTTTCGAACTTTTCGAGAAAAACTGACACAAAAAATTAACAAAGAAGTTTAAAAAAATCGGACTGTGTTAAGTTGAAGCAGCAAGTGTTGGCTACATTTTGACGTCAACCCGAAATTTGTATTATTATCTTTAGGGGAGAAATCTGAAACGCACGGAGATCTATTTTTGGACTCTTGGCATAGGACTAACTCTTGAAGAATCCAATATTTCGGGCTGAAAGTTTTGCTGTAAGCTCCATAGGCCTATATCCATATTTCCTGAAATTTCCAGGTAGATTGGTTGTTCTGGAACGAAAATAGATTTTTGACAGGGGAACTTAATCACTCTATTAATGATATTTATAATTAGTGCAATAAAACGTATCGAAGAAAAAGTAAAAAGTTTCTATTGAACAGAAAATCTTTGAAGTATATTTTAATATTAATTAAATTAAAGTATTGAAAATACAATGAATTACCATTATTAAGAATATTATTTAATTGTTGTATAGCTTGAATATGTTTTGTGCATGTGTTAAATCTCCTAAAGATTTTTTTAATGTCATTAAAAAGTTCTAAACGTTCATAATCTTTTCCATCAATAAATAGAAAAACATTTGTATGCAAACATTTAACTAAATCTAATTTAATCTGTCGATTTGTTAAAATTCTTTCTGAATTTAATAATGGTTTTATTTTTTTTTCTTATTTCATTTAATGATAAATTTGAATTTGTTAATAAATATTCGAAATATGAATGATAAAATTCACCAATTGATATTCACGATGTCCCATGGGTTTATCACCCGTTGGGGCCAACCACTGATCGGATAATGTTTTTCCATTGTCTCCGATCTTGTGCCAGGTGGAACAGGTCCTGTCCGCTGCGTCCGCACCATT